CGACCGGTAGACAAAGGAAGTAAAATCAGTCAAGATTCTGGAGAGTCATATCGTATCCTATAAATGTTTTATTCAAACAAACCATACGTATAATTCTGTTTACATTGTCTATCCTTTATTAACAGCGTATAGCTGTTTCTGTTCTCCGTCACCTGCAATTGCTAAGATAATTGTCAGATTTTGTTTTAAGTCTGTGCATAATATACCATAGAATGTATTTTTAACACGCTTTTATAGGCTTGGCCTGTATGTATGTATGTATGTATGTATATAACAGAATCTTTGAGCATACTTTTCACCAATTTCCAGAAGTTTGATTAATATGAAACTTCGCACACGTATCAAGGACCGATGACAATGCAATAATTTGATAACAGTTTTCCGTTAACTTTATTAGGACCGCCAGGATTGATAAATTTTTTTATAGATCCTCTGTAGGGGAGTAAGAGATATAGAGCTAGCGCGCGATTTGCGCATGCGTGCGGCTTCAGATTTACTCTTTGTTGGTTCGGGAACTCGGCACAGCACAACGGAAGCAGATACTTTTTCAAGGTAGTGGATTCTAACCTTGTTCATTGCGAATGTTGCCTTTAATCCTGAGTTGGGCTTCGAACGTCCACAAGATGCAAGTTTGTAACATAGATCATGCAGTCATGTATCTAAGCTCGCGAGTGTTTGCTCCTAGACAAGCTTATGTAGCACTTACTCGTGTAAGATCTTTAGACGGAATTAGGATTGAAGAACTTGGTTGCTCTAAGTTAACAGTGAAGTTTTAAATGAAATGGTTAGATTACCAAATGATTCGTATGACATCCCAATATCACATGCTCACAAAAAACTACTTGACAAATCGAACTAAAAAGAAGAAAATAATTTTTAATTACAAAGAGTTTATATTACAGTAGTAGAGGGTCGAACAATCAATCATAATTAGTGACCAGAAAATAAAATTTAAGCTATAGACAGAATACTTTAATTCAGAGTAAAAAGCGCGGGGTACATTTTACTACATTTTCATAATAATTCTCCTCTCATAGATAATTGCCAATAAAATTATTGTAACATTTAATATATCAAGCACCCCACGCTTTTTACTCTGAATTAAATTGCATATTCTGTTCACAACTTTTATTATAATTTTAATTTGAGGTCATTAATCATGATTGATTGTTCGACCATCTCCTACTGTAATATAAATTCTTTCTAATTAAAAATTATTTTAAAGTTTTTAGTTCGGTTACCTATAAAAGCGTGTTTATTTGTTTTTTAAACTATTATTTATTATTATTCTTATCATGCCTTGCTTATAAAAGGGATGATAAGATAAAATATAAAGAAAGGCATATATTATTTGAAAGAAACTAGTGCAACTTAGGCTTAAGCAGGTAAATCTAATGAGAATACTTGATCGCTCATTAAGATTCTTCTGTTCATTTGACTGAAACGTTAGAAGGACAGTTAATAATTGGTTTAAGCAAACATGCATCAGAAACAGTTATGGAACTAGAAAAATGTATCGCTAAGATACATTTTAATGAAGGTGGATGTCTGCACGGGGTTTATCTCTCAGACACATCTTATTGGCTGTTACTGAAATTGGAGTGGTAGGGCATTCGACTATAGAGACGCAAGAGAATAGTAATGTCGCTGGTGGAAAAATTGTTCGTGATCAGATTCTTGAGCGTATTCATGGGTGTCAAGCCTTGGAAATGCAGTCGCTCCAGCCAACCAAGATCAGAGTGTATTTATTGTTGCTAAAAAAAGCGACTCCCTAAACCCTATCCAAGTCCAAGATAGAGTAAAGCCATGATTAACGTATTCTACCTGAGAAGTGCAGTTTTTTCAATAAAAGAAGATCTCAGCCGTCCACCTGGGTAAGGCATTCGCTGTGTTTCAACCGGGTTATCATCAGAGGATTCAGCCATGAAATCAATAAGCTATGCCCTAATTCTCATTTACAGCCGATGATATTATGTTGGTATCATTCAGTTATGCTGATAAGTGGATGATAGCGATCGTAATTAATGGGTTTTCTTCTTCATAGCACTATGCTTCTGTTCTTCTGTTACATGTCAACGACTTCCTCTCCTGTACGATCAATCCGATCCACAGCTTTGCTGATGACAACACTGATGCATTCTGGTATAGTTTAGTGCTTTGTCAACACAGTATTGTACCTGGACTAACGAGAAGCGCCTTAGCGTACCTCTACTCTGGTTTCGATAAATTGCCGAGCTCTGTCAAAAAGCCATTCGTTTTGGCTGGTCGGGAAACTGGGAAAAAGTTGGGTTATTTCTTGAGAATCTAGAAGTATTTTTCTTTATATAAGTTTCGTACTGTCCATATTTGATGTTGTTCAGAGGTTGGCTGTCCGACCGATTGCTGTCACTTTTCAAAAGGGCGGACTCAACACCATTTCAAACCAAGAGGCTGTCGGCGATCTGGATCTCTTCTAACCGCTATATTAACAGGATTTGCGCCTTGCATTAATTTTGCCGAACATCTTAAATCCAGAACTAACCAGTACGATCGCTCCTTGTTCCTAGGATGTCGATATTGTGGAACAATCTGTATGAGGAGGCTTTTACCAGTTCTACTAACCTTAGCTATTCAAAAAATCGGATTAAGAAGATGTCTTTAAGCCATGGTTCGCAGGTTATTGAGATTAGGAAAAATTTGAATTTCAAACTAACAATCCTCGTTTCATACGTGATCGTGTAATCTCTCGCGTAGGGCCCTAAAGACTAGGTGCCAATTAACGTATTTTAAAATACGGCTTAACCCAGTGCCATCCGTTAAAAAATTCCATAACAAAGGTGGCCAAGGTAAATTGCTGGAAATTATTTACAGCTTCCTAAAATTACTCATTTTTGAACTTTTTTCCCACATGTCAGCGCTCCTACTCAATCTTGTCAAATTAGTTCACTTTGTGGACACTAAACTGCGTTTTATAAAATTTCAAATACAACGGTATGCTTTTTATATTTCTCGGAAAGAACATAGAAAATCCTATCTGTTATGGAGATATAATGAAAAATAAGATTAAATTACAAAAATTCAAGCTACGAATACTTATGTAAATGCATTAATATGATACGATTTTAAGATATTTTACTTGGAAATTTATTTTACGCTGTTTATAACCGATAGGGGTCGTAAGTGTCACCTGATATATTAAAAAGACATACTTATACAATTATATCTCATAATTTAACTCAGTTGACTTTGGAATAACTACCGCGCCTGCGAATCTCTCGCGCATTCAAACGTTGAAGCCGCTAGTTCCTATGTTCGTGATTCTGAAATATCAGTGACTAAATCACAGTTTGTGAAATATCTGCCACCACTAATTTGGATCCGTTTAGCTGTCTTTAGCTGCATCTACGATGAAAGAGGATTGTTCCACCGTCGGTGATCCTGCTATTCGTAATGTGTGTACATTGTACGGCAGATACGCATTCGAATGCTTTTAAATTCCTGTATATTTAATTTTGAGATGAAACGGACTGCAATTAGGTTTGAAACGGTAGTGCAATCTTACTAATTAGATTGGTATGTTTAGACCTGTTGACCGTTAAGGTATATGATCTTTGTGAAAGTAATAGTACATAAAATTATGTAATAGACCCGCTTGTCGTAAATAATCACTTTTCGCGGACTCGCACGCCAAGGTTCATGGGAGATTGTACCATATTTTTGGCTGTTTGAGAATGAAGGACCGGTCATACTAGCAAGTACTAAAATGAAGAGGGAAGCATAGTTTATCTCGGAGATGAGTAGCTGTATCATGAAAGAGACACAGGGAGTAGCTGCCAGTCTTTATCTCTTGGAATGCCCTCTTGTATAAAGTGTTTTCATTTCCATTCTATCCAATTGTTGATCAGCTTTATTATGCTGGAATTAATGTCATTAATGTGATTGGATATACCTCATCTCAAATATGATGTAACCACACTTCTAAGATGACGAAGAACGTATACCTAATGAATCTAGTACACGAATTACTTTTCTCATAATCTGTCTATTGTATTTTATTATAGTCTTTGTCAGGGACCTTAACAATTACTGGCAATTCTTTTATTACATTATAAGTAATCATGAATGAAATTCAGGATTAATTGACGAAACATTATCTAGAATGTTAAAGCTTGGGTATAGTCAATCAAAGAGCTGCTAGAAATAGCAATGTGTCAGACTTAATTGTTACTAAGTATACAACTCATTAATTGATCATTATTTCTGCAGACCAGTAACAGAAAAGGCATCCTACATATGTTAAATACTAAACCGTTAAAAATAAAACAAAGCAACAGTACCACTTACATACATGATATTGGAAACAAATATTTTGGGTCATAAGAGAAAATTAAATAGAGTTCGTTTTAATCTCTCTCCTCAAGTTCTTTTGCAATATGGCCTGTTAAAGACAATGCTATATAGTAAAGATATAGACATGCGAACAACAAAGGAGTAGTAGTGTCAGTTCTTTATTTAAGAACTGAAGGAATCACAAAAGTAGTCTATTTTTGTAATCTTTGTGAAATTAGGCCAGATGACTAAATACAACCAGACGTTGTTTATAATCCGAAAAAGCTTCCGCAGATGCATAATACGTGGAAGAGGTACCAGCTCCATATTTCATAATGACTAATTTTGTTAGAGTAGCTTTGACGGCTCAGATTTATGATAATTACTAGCTAAAATTTATGATTTTATCGCATTACAGAACATTATTATGAGGGACTCGCAAGCACTATGACTTGAACCGGTGAGCTTCATAATACTAGGCTGCCGATTTAACCACCTAGCTATGATAACCCACCACAACAAAAATAAGTGCGTTATATTTTCATTATATTTTCTAAACGGAATGTTCTTGATCCAGGAAATATATAGAGCGTAAGATCCTAGGTTCAGATATGAACTTGGAAACAACCAATTTTGACCTTCATCGCTTCGCTCAAGATCATGATAAAAATCTTCGTTTGAGAGGAAGACTTTTAATTATTCTCTGGATATCCATTGGTATCCTTGAAACGGAGGTTTACAATCAATTTTAAATACGACCCATACATTTGCCTCTAGAAATGCAGAATATTATGTAAAGAAAATAAAATGAAAGCCTATCTTGCACTATAGCCATGATCTATGCCACTGCGACTGTTTGGATGCCGCTCAATGTTCGACCCGTGACGAACACTCAAAATTTCCTACTATATAGTTTGGTGCCAAAAGCAAAGAGTACGCAGCAGTGGCGTACCATCTGTTATGCTACGCATGTAAACGTGAAGCACACTTTTATGTTGATTTGGTAATCAAGAAACGTCTTCGATGCGTTGAAGCAGGTCACATTCCACCTTTTTTTTTTGCTTAACGACCGGTGTTCTATAAACAACTTACCGATATTCTTAAAACAAACACAGTTGAAGCATAGCGACGTCAATTGAAATGTGTTCGAAAAAGCATATGGTTATACAGCATACACTTATACAGTCATTAGAGGACCTATTTATTTTTCCTATGCCTTTGGCGTTGAACTATTGTAATCCTGAAAAATTGCGGTATTATGTTTATTTGGATCTTGTGCTGGTAATTACGCGAAAGGTCCGAAGGTACACGTATCTTCGTTCCCGGTGAATAAAAACGGGCGTGAAAGATGGCTCAACGTCATCCCTCGTAGTGATTTAGTGATTACAAAAAACCTCGGAGTATGCAATTTGCACTTTGCTGAGGACAAAATCATTTGGGGATCCACCAATTGCCCGAGATACCTTTCAAATGACATATCAAACAGAAGAAGCCGATATGAAAAATAGAGGGACAAGGGACAAAAGAACAACTACTTGAAGCACTACAAAATAACATTCAAGATTATACCTAATAAAAAAATCAACAAGTTTTCAATATTATTCAGACTTTCACAGTTTTCAGTTCATAACAATGCCCAGATGGGTGGCATGGTCAGGATAAAGTTACTTTGTTTAAGTAAGCCAGTACCTATTACAACGCACTCTGTAATTGTTGATAATCGCAATATGTCACTCAACTCAAGTTATATTAAGACTCCATTTTATTATCTAATATAGACCATTTGGATGATGATGTTCTGAATGATCTTGCTCAGAATGTAGATGCTTCGAGGAAATATTCAGGTGAAAACAAATTCATAGCCACTATCAACCATGCTTGCAATATTTTAAATAGCACAGAACTAATCACCAATGAAGAGGCCCACACTGTCATTCAATTTATATGTGACTACTAAGGCTTGAGATTAGTCAGAAGAATATATACGTATACACAGTTACTTGTCAAAAACACTAGTGGTTTGCTCTATGCTGTATACAATCAGGCCACATTCATCTAGATTTATTCGCAGGCACGGATGACTTATTTTACCACATAAAAAAATTCTGAAGTCAATTTGTGATACATTAATGGTCAATACAGTTCCAGATGAGAGACATAACTCTTTAGGCTATACAAAGAACCTCTTCAGAGATGTAGAACCAGGTGGGGAGAACATAATTTTATTGATGAATGAAATACACATTCAGCCATATTTCGATTTCAAAGGGCATAATATTGTTGGAACGTCAATTAATAATGCTTCATTAGCTACAACAGCATATAGATGTGTCTATGTTTTCAAGCTTTTATTTTTCACACACAACATTACAAAAAAGTTATTATTGGATTAGAAGAAATAGGTTAAACATTTTTTTTAAAAGTATTTTCTTCATTTTTTGATACAGTGTATTCGCAATAATTGAATGAATTTGAAACCAGACCAAATTTTAACATACCCAGAGTTTGAAACACATGAGGTTAGTGTTGCTTCATTCAAATCTCTCAAAACGTTGTACCAAATGCAAATTCATAAAATATTGAAACATGGTTTCACATAGATTCAATATTATTAACGACGAATAGTTGTAGTTTATTGTAACCTAAGATTAATATTTATTCTGAATATCCTTCACGTGCATGTAAACGTAAAGCACACTTTTATGTTGATTTAGTAGTCAAGAAAGCAGCGTCTTCGATGCGTTGAAGCAGCTCACATTTCAACTTTTCCTTTGCTTAACGAATGGTGTTCAATAAACAACTAACCGAGATTCTTAAAACAAACACTGTTAAAGCTTAACGATTTCAATAGAAATGTGCCTGGAAAAGCATATTGTTGTACAGCATTCAGTCATTATAGAATCTAAATAACTTTTGGATAGGATACGATTCAGCCCGTAATGGATACACTAAAACAGTCGATACGTTTAGGATGGGAAGCTGAAGTCTGGCGGGTCTGCCTGGCAGGCACATCTCATGACAGCAAATAATGATATTTAGTCAAATCCTTAAGGTGCGTTTCCATTTATACATGATGCAAGCGTATGTTGCGCAATATGTAGCTGTAGCTGGCGCTTGTACCGCAACATGATGTAGGCTGTAAACATTTCTGGGACATTTACCGGTACACTTATCAGATACTGTACATTTTTGAAGAAGCTAATAAACCTTTACAAAAGCTCCAATCAGAAGAAAGAGTATTTTTGTCGATTGCAATTTGTAAATACACTGTCAAGGTCACCATTAGCCAACAGCGTTTTCTTGCCAATATCTGGAACTCCACAAGGATCGAATTTATGATCATCGTTATTCGAATTAGACAGCACAAAGTGCACTCTATTACCAGAATTGACCTCTGCGAAACTAAAAACAGAAAGCTGATTGCTGGAACTGTACGCCAGCTCGCATTGTCAGCCGGGTCACCACTGTGGTAGCTAGAAGCCGCCGATTCTGCTCCTATAGTAGGTACGATCTACTCGACATTGAACAAACTAGTAATATAGCTTCCATTCGTCCCACTACAGACGACTAGCCATTTGCTACAGTAGCAGATGGCACTTTGAGCTGTCTTATTTTGTACACCTTGTACGCTGAATTGAGTAGAGATGCTCTGCTTTCGTTCGTTGTCCACCGAGACCAAGCCTACACCATGCTGAAGAGTTACAAATAGCACGAAACAGCTGCCCATCGTTGGCTATCTGTGGCTGAATGAACGAAAGCTATATTACTAGATTATCATGGTAATTTTCGCTCTGTATAATAATATATAAGGCTATTCGGGGAATCGCGAAATAAATGCTCTTATCAAAATGGGGCTGAAATACCCCTCGCCGAGTAAAAGGGTGTTGAAGTTTTAAACTTTGAATGAAAAAAAATTTTTTAGTGTATCAAGTCATTGGCCTAAACATTTCGTACCTGTACATACAAAATACGTATTCGTGTAACACTATAGAAGTAAAAATAAAATTGTTCTCTACGTCACCGATTTTCATTTTTCCACATTATTTGATTCCCCTTTTCGCAAGCTTTTTTCTGATATTACGATTATGGAGACTTTCACTATTTGTTTTTGAGTTGACTCTTCGGTTTTATTGCATAAGGTTGAGTGGATTTAATTTATAAAGAAAATACACCAATTGTACCGACCTGCTGTTGCAAATTAAGCACTATTTTTTTAAAGTACTATAACATTTTTCAGCTACCTTGATATCTGATTTACAAAATATTTAGCTATAACTCAAGTCATAAAAACCCCCATAGGTTTGATTAAAATAAAAGCTTATGAAAATTATAAATAAAAAGTGTATATTATACATTTTGAAAATTTCGTAAAATCATTCATTTTGCGTTCTTGACCACCATGTATAATTTATTAAAACAAGTGAAGATGTAATTAATAGATAGGAAATATGGGATCATGAAGTTTGTCCTGCCGAAAATTCAATACTCTAGCTGTAACAGTTGAGTAGGTGTGAGTTATCAAAGTTGGATGCCTTTCGATATATTGTCCAATACCCTAAGTATGTCATATTGAATTGTTTCGTTTGAAAGGGTCTATGGAAATCTGCGATAAAATGTAGGGCCATTAAAAAAATGTGTTTGAGTCACCAAGTAGTTATAAATCACCCTTCAGGGATATGAATATTTTCCAAGTAAGGAGAATGCTATTGGCTATAGTGTTTTTACATAACATGCGTTGGACAGTTGGAGTTTTGTTTTTCGGATCCCGCTCAGAAGCGTTCCCATCAAACGGTTTAGATATGTTTTGAAACTCAAGTCTGTTTAGTGGTAGTCGTGTTGTGTTTCCTGTTTTCGTCTTACTAGTCTGAATACGAATTTTGTATCAAATTAGCAGATAAGTAAATAACGTATTTTTATAGACTGACAATATAAATAGCTCTTCAAAATCAGAGAAAGTCATTCTCAGAAAATTATTATGAAATTATGTGCGATGATCTCCATGCAATCCAATGTCATCATTTTGGATAATATCATTCATCTTCAAGATAAATTTGGTCGAAGCCAATACCTGTGTTGGCGTTTTCTTATTCTCGTAAAAATACTATTTTAATTAGTAATGCATATATATATATGTACTGATAAAGTGTTTACTTGGCTAGTTTACCTAGAGGCACATATAGTTACAGACACAGCTATTTATTACTATATATACCAAGGACTTCAGTATCAACTAGCCTTGACTAAGAATAAAAGAAGCTTTTTATCAAAACATGTTGGTCTTACTGAAAAAAAACTGTTTAACTTACTCGCGACAAAGGACCGAAAACAAAAACAAACTCGTACAAAATGTAGCCCGCTTGATGGAAACAAGAGTTTTGAGTTTGTTTCGGTTTTGTTTTTTTGTTTTTACAAAATACTGAACTATCAGTTTAATGAAAAACCGCCTTATAAGGGAGTTATCAAGCGAGCCCACGCTAAAAGCTCACCCTGTATGTTGCATTGTTTCCTGTAACTGGGTGATTGTACCTGTTGGAAATAAAGATCTGTCTACCTAAGCCTTAATGCACCATCCCCAATATTTGACAAAGCCACCTAGCTATGACTAGAATATCGAAGTCGTGACAGAAACATCGTACACCTCTTTAAAACGTCCATCTTGAATGTAATAGCATATTTTGAGCTGTGATAAGGCTTCAAATTATGAGTTTCAAATTTAATGAGGTAGTTGAAGCGCCATTCAATAGGAAATTGCTGGCGGAGCTTTATCTTAAAC